GAGCACTTCCTCCAGATATATTATAGCTCAGTGGAATTACACTTACTGCCAAAATGGCGGCCAACGCGTGTTCATAAAAAATCGCGACACAATTTTGGCAGAGTGATTCGTCTCGTATTATCTATCATCTGTGATCATATTCAAAAAAACGTGCTTATTCATTAAATAAGTGCAACGACTCAACAAATTCCACTAGGTATCTTTATTACTATTAGATATACTATTAGATGCCTAGTGGAATTTGTTGAGTCGTTGCACTTATTTAATTATGCTCTGGATATCCATTGAGCACTCTGCCAAATGTTTTTGTAAACAACGAAACCTAATTATATATATATATATATATATATATATATATATATATATATATATATATATATATATATATATATATATATATATATATATATATATATATATATATATAAATTTACCCACTGAAATCAACTGCAATTTTATATATTGAGAATTTCGAATTCGGCATAGTGGGTATAATTAATTAAGACAAGAATTTATTCACATTTCGGCATCTTCATTCTTTATTTGTTTTGCAATGACCAAAAGTGGCTCCATGCATTAAATCAAAGAATCTTTTGGACACAAATGTCACAAACGTTTTCATGTAAGTTGATAAAATTGTTATCACACAGTTTTATATATTTAACAAATATAAAACATTTTAAATAAATGAATGAATGAATGAATGAATGACAGTATTTATTGGGGGTGGGCCCGCAGTTTACAAGATAATTGATAAATTCTTTGTAGACTTGCATGGCGATAAAACATATATTATTATTATTATTTATTACTATATAAAGTATAGTGTTTTACAGAGATTTCGAGCACTGATAAAAGTGATAATCTCACATGTGAGATTATTCATTATAATCTCATATGTGAAAATTATCGCTTTTCCGTAAAAATCATCGCTTTTCAAAGAGTGTCCTTTATATAATAAGCAGAAAAATGCATGGGTGCTTGGAAATACCAGATTTACTTTTCGTGTTGAAGATAATATTTAAGATTTTATTATTATTATTAATATCATTGTTTGTGGAACCACCACGTAAATTTATGTGGTGTTTCCACAAACAATAATATTAATATATAATTAATCAACCTATATACATATTTATACTATAGAATAAAAAAGTTAAAGTACGCTATCACAAATTAAATAAGAAGATTGAGATATGATTCAGTTTATACTAATTTCTTAAAAGTATTTGAAGTTAAGTCTTTGAAACCGGCAGTGAAGATAGCAAAAAGGTTTTTGACCTGTTGAAGTAGACAGTTTGGTAACTATTTTGTACATCTGAATTAAAGTACTGAAAACAGTCCGTAATGTTCCGTTTGCTGAGACTACTTGGTTTCTTTCGGATAAATACAGGTTAGACCGTCTGAGTTAAACCCGTCCAAGGAACTTCGGCCGAGACATTTTCCGTGTTGATATATATGCATTATACAGTTAATAGATAATATATCAACACGAGTGGGAATTGGGAAAAATTGTGTGGAAACACGACGCAACAGGTACACGAAGGGCTGAGTGTTTTCACATAATTTCGAGTTTTCCCAATTTCCACGAGTGTTGATACAGTTATACTGATGTCAAGACGAAAAACTGTTTTATATATTTTTTGTAATATAGCACGAACAAAGAAAAATAAAGAAAGAAATTTTCTGTGTTACGGCTCTTAGCCAATCAGCGTTCAGAGTTACAAATGCTATATTATAAATAAAGTTGATATTGACTTGGTAGTTGGTATTGCCAATCATGTGAGTACAGTATAGAACATACGAGAACACTATGGAAATACATGTCATATACAGATTCGAAAATGAAAATTCTTAGAGAGATGCGTTAAAGGCACAGTCCAGCTTTTTGAAAGATGGTTTTTAAGGCGCAGTTCAGCCCTTTTAATTAAAAAAACTAACTAGGAAAATCAATTATACATAATTCAAGATCAGTAAACTCAATGTTTTGAACAATAAAATGTTTTAAAATGTTAAAAACATCAAGTTTACTGATCTTGAATAGACCTGATGCATAATGACGTCACAAAGCTTGATGCCCGCGACGAACGCTGGTCTTAGTAGTCGTCACCAAGCAAAATTAAACAATTCAAAATGGCCACTATCGAAATTTTCTTGGGTGATGACTACTAAGACCAGCATTCCTCGTGGGCATCAAGCCTTGTGACGTCGTTAAGGTCTATTATGCTCAATTGATATTCCTAGTTAGTTTTTTCAATTAAAAGGGCTAAAATTCGCCTTAAAAACAATCCTTAAGCACCTCTTAAAATATAGGACTATTTGCAAATGTTTTGTTTTTAATTAAGCGCGTCGAAAATGCTTCACTCCAGACCGTAGCCACGACCAAAATTACCGTTAGTTACCGGTGAATTTCTAGGGGGTGAAAAATTTGAAAGCCCGAGAATTCTGAAATGCTATTTTCCGCATTATGAGTAAGAGAAGGCGGGGGGGGGGGAAGGGGGGGTTGCCAATCCCGAAGCGTGAGCAATAATATCCTGAGATCTTGAAACATGAAAAATAAAACTTAAGGAAGTCCTGAAACACGTATAATAACAAATTTATTGTATAGGAACCTGAAATGTATAAAGGGAACATGAAATGTAAGCAACAACCATATACTTGAAGGTCTTAATGGCGAATAACAGTCTGTACTGAGTGTGCGTTCTCCCAGTGAAGTATTATTTAAAGAAAGAGCCGCAGTCATTTATCTGGTGTAAACACCTCTATAGATGTGTAAACACCTCTATACAGTATAATTAAACGTTGAGTCGACGTCAGTAACGTGATGTTGAATTAACATTTGTATGGTGACGTTGAAACAACTTTGAAATTTCGTTGTCATTTTGACGTCATCCAATCAACCATAATTAAACCACAGATGAGGTAAATACAGATATGAATCTTCCGTCAAATTGCTGATTGTTTTGTGTCACACGGAATTCTCACTTCCGGCGAGCGCTGGCAAGTGTCGTTCTGACATTTAATAAGGAAAGAGATAGGAAAACGCCGTTCGAAAGACGAAAAATTGTTTTTTTAAAAAATATACGCTACCGACGGCTATTTTTGGAATTAATTCTTCGAGAGTATCGGTAAGCGATCACTTTTATTGATTTCTTTTTATTAAAAGTGTTAACATAACATTTTATTTAGCAAAAGTTTGTTTTTTTCCCTATCTACTCCTTATTAAAATCGTGAAATACACTTGCTGGGAATTTCAGATGCTCGTGTATAACAACAAAACAGCGAAAACATAAACCATAACTCTCCTCAAAACATAACTCTCGCATAAAAAAACATGAATACTTCTATAATATGTATAGTTTTATTCCTCTGCATTATCAAAATTTAATAAAATAGTGAATTAATACAATTTTAAAGTTTATTTAATCCGTGTGACATGATTTGCCTTGAGATTCGTATCTGTAATTACCTCATCTGTGATTAAACGTTGAATCGACGCCAGCAAAGTGATGTTGAATCAAGATTTGCATTGTGACGTTGAAACAACGTTGGACGTTGAATCGACGTCAGCAAAGTGATGTTGAATCAACATTTGTATTGCGACGTTGAAACAACGTTGAAATTACGTCGTCATGTTGACGTCATCCAATCAACCATAATTAAACGTTGAATCGACGTCAGTAAAGTGATGTTGAATCAACATTTGTATTGTGACGTTGAAACAACGTTGCAATTACGTCGTCATGTTGACGTCATCCAATCAACCATAATTAAACGTTGAATCGACGTCAGTAAAGTGATGTCGAATCAACATTTGTATTGTGACGTTGAAACAACGTTGCAATTACGTTGCCATGTTGACGTCATCCAATCAACCATTATTAAACGTTGAATCGACGTCAGTAAAGTGATGTCGAATCAACATTTGTATTGTGACGTTGAAACAACGTTGCATTTACGTTGTCATGTTGACGTCATCCAATCACCCATAATTAAACGTTGAATCGACGTCTATTTGCTGATGTTGAACCAACGTTTGTAAAACGACGTCAGGGCGACGTTGATATGAGGTTGTCGACGTCGCGACCTTTTTCCAACCAAAATTCAACGTTAAAACAACATCGTGTGCAAGCTGGGTAGTTACATAAATAAGCCTTTAGTGCACCCTTTCGATAATTACTTCATTTGTCCTGGGAGCCTCGCTCTCTTGTTGGGTGGCATTCACAAAGGATGTCTGGGCAAATGATGGATTTTCAGACCCCCCTCCCCCATTGTCCGGCATTGTCCGAATTAGTGAACCCCTCTCCCCCCGGACATCCGCCATGCCTCACAAAAACTCACGCAATCTTGTATATGTCAAGAGTAAAAAACTTTTTTTACTTTTAGAACTTTGTTATAACTATAAATGTTTGAAGGAAAGAATTAGATAATATTATGAAGTGTTCAAAATGCCAATTTCACAATGAGAAGGAGAGTTCAAAATATAGGAAAATTTGTTTTTGAATTTTTTTAAATTTCGGACATCCGGATTGCTAAAACCCCCCTCCCCCTATGTCCGAATTTGTCCTGATTTTCAACCCCCCCCCCCTACCCCCTCGGCTCGGACATCCTTTGTGAATGGCTCCTTGCGTAATTTACTGATGAGAGCGGGGCTCCAGGACCAAAAAGGATGTATGTAATTATCGAAAGCTAAGGGTGTATTAACAAGGAATTCTGACATCCATCACATTGAAAGCCGATATTCATATTGATGAATCTGTCCTGGGTACACTGGAAAAACTGAGGGCGGACATACTTTTACGGTCAGAACAATTATTGAATGGAACAACATTGATCTACCGACAGAAAAAAGTACTCAGTTGCTTGCTTGAAGGTTACTTCACATGATGAACGTGCGTTTTAGTCTATTGAACATGGCGCAACGAATTTTAGGTGTAACTTTACCGAATTTTTAGTGAAGAAAGCCAAGA